TGTCAGGGATTTTGCTCTTGAATTACCAATTTCCCATATTTTTTTTACTTTAACTAATGTTTACTTTTATTGTAAGCAATCTTGGTACATACTTGTCGATCCATTTTTGTGTCTTTTGTTATTGATTTAATCGACCCTGAACAAAACCATATTCGTATTAAAAGATGTTCTGATATACCACAAAATTGAATGATTAAAGGAAAAGGAATTTGACATTTATATAACGCAAATCATTAGTCATATCGGTTTTCAAAATGATTTGCTTTTAAACAGACACCTTATTGCAGTAAGGTCAGTGTAAAATTATAAACAGGCACTACATATTAGTTCTTAAAAAGCTTTACGGGGCTGCAAACATTGCAAGGGTGTTTTATACTTTTGATCATTTTCTAATGACAGATTATTATGTCGTGATTAATGAAAAAGCTTTCAATCAGGTATCTATGATGATTTTTTTTTTGTTCATCAAAGGGATTTTGATTACATTATAAAATTCCAAAAAGAAATCATGAATTGTAAAACAAACAAACAATTAGTTGCCTTATCGAAGTTTTAAATGAACACTTTACCCTAGAATGACCAAGCGGGGATTTTGACATTTTAAAATATTTAAATAATTTCACCAAACTTAGCCACAATCATCATTAGGGTGTCTAGTTTTAAAAAAAATGCTCGATGACCCCGCTTGCCAACCAATATGGCAATCATGGCTAAAAATAGAAATGCAAGTTTTCTCTATTATCTTGAAAACCGCTATAAACAGAGAAAATCTGACAAAGCATAAATGTTCAAAATGTTGAGATCTACCTACCCTCCATTTACATCCAAACTGTCAGACCACTTTTTATAGGAGTTACTGCCCTTAAATGATGAATTTTACCTCTTTTATTCATTTTTGCTTATTATCTTGAAAAATATAATAAATAGAGAGAAACTTTGATGGCAAAAATGATCAGCAAGACTAGACTTACAAATAAGTCAACATGTCCCAAATTGCCAGGCAACTCCTTTAAGAGTTATTGTCCTTATAGACAACGAATTTAATAAAAAAAAAAAAATCATTTATGTCTATTATCCTGAAAACTATAATAGATAGATAGACATTTTAAAAGACAAAAATGATAAGAAAGGCAAGATCAAAAAATAATTCAATGTGGCATAAATCATTGGTTGATTCTATTTATGAGTAATTGCCCCATAGTGACGTATAATTGAAATGAAGCTTTGATAATAATTAAATATAAGACTGAAGTTGTCAAGCAAGTCAAAAGATTATTTGCCAATAAATGATGAATTTTGACCAACTAAAGTGCTTTAACCTATAATATCATAAAACTTTGTAGATAAACAAAAACTTTGAAAATGTAAATTTGAAAACAAGACAAGATGTACAAATTAACTTGAATTACTAAATTGCACAAAATGTCAATAAACTATTATAGAAGTTTTTTCCCAAAATATCGAGAATATTAATTTGATTTTTGACCTTTCATTGTTAAAGGATAACCTAAGTCATATATGAAGTTTACAATTCATTTTGAGCAGCAGTTGTAAAATTTATTTTATAATTTAATAGTAGTTTAGGAAAAATATTGTTGATTAAATTTTGTCCCTCCTGGCTCATGTCCTGGGATAAATTGAATATATATTATTGGTATTGAATGAATATATGAGAAATATTTAAACCATTCAATTTACTTAACACGAATGAAGACGTCATGAATTTCAGATTTATATATTGGACTTTGTTGTTGTGGTATCAAGATATAGCAGATTGAAACTCTTCAATGAAAAGTTAAAAACTTCCTTTTTGGTGAACCTTTTGAAGGTAACACAAGGAGTGCTAGAGAGTTGCTAAAGTTTAAAACAAAATTGGGACAAAATGGCTTAGTATTATCAAATAGAAATAGGCAAAAGATATAATATAAATAAATAGGACCAGTATAAATGAAAAAATCTTTTGGATACTTGTTCAGCTAGCATACTAAATTTAGTCGTTTAGAAGTAAAATGATGATGCAAGAATTTAAAATGCAAACAAATATAAAGACAGCAAATAAAATTTACCTTATGGAAAAAGCTTTACCATTAATTTGCAGTTCTGTTTCTTGTGTACTGATACTTTATTTGTAGGCCTACGAAATAAAAATTGAACCAATTGTTATTGATCTATAAATTAATATGTTTTTTCCATGACCTTTATGTTAAATGAAACGCCATACACCTTTGATAAGAAGAACTGTACACGTATACTAGAGTTAATCGACTTCATGATAAAAAACAAATTGTGTGTTTTCTGTAAAATGCTGCTTTTTGTAAACTCAGTCAGGCCAAAAAAAAATGATATGCTTGTTTCCTGTCTCCCGACCGATAGCAGTTGTTTTCTTATTGTAGGGGCCTCGGTGGCCGAGCGGTCTAAGTAGTTACTACTGTTATCAGTAGCCAGTCAACACTGAGGTTGTGAGTTCGAACACCGCTCGTGCGGGTGCACTCGACTTCAATCTTAATTGACTAGGATTGTCAGTTTTCCTATCGAAGGTCGATGGTTTTCTCCGGGCACTCCGGCTTCCTCCACCAATAAAAACTGGCCGCCACGAAATAGTCTAAAAGCGGTGCTTAAAAGTGGCGTTAAAACACCAAAAATCTAAATCTAAACTTACTGTAAAACATTTATAACTTATTATGAGTAATAGGATAACATTATTTGGTATATGGAATCCTTGCAAGGTCTACATGTTGGTCAGACAGGGTTCACCTGTGCCTCATTTTGTGTATCAGTCATCAAGGTTAGTCATGTGATAAGGTCTCTTTGTCAGAAACTATGAGCAGAATGTCAACTATATTTGGTATACGGAATACTGTATTTGTACTTTTTTTCATGAAGTATTTATTTTCGTGAATACAAATGCAGCTTGTATGTAAAAATCTTTGAATAATTTTTCACTGATTTTATAACTGTACATGTACATTCATCTGGTTTCATTTACATAGCCTTGTTTGAACTGTAAAACTGTTGAAACAACACCAGTGAAATCAATTAAGGACAAAGGGTATCAAATAATGACCAAAGCCAAATTTGACAGTTTTTATTGTGTAACTATAACTTAATTGAAGAATAATGTCTTTCTAACGGACTTCTGTTTTGATGATTGAATAATCTATGTTTATTTTGTAAGCAATATCACTGACCTGTTTTGTGTTAAATTATATTTAGTTTTTTACAAACACAGGCTTAATTAATGAAAATTTAAATATTTTATGAACATATTAACAAATTTAGAAATAATTATTTCATGCCATGCTCTATGCTCACTTTAACATGGGTAGACATTATATTTGTCAATATCTTTATACTGAGCGTTAACGAGGTGTAAAATGTTGACAAATATAATGCCTACTCATATTAAAATGAGCATAGAGCATGGCATGATAGAATTATTTCAATTCTAATAGGAATATTTATTAGAACTTCTGTACTTCTAAGCGGACATATTACATGTATAATACACGTTCGAAAGGCATCCATTTTTTTATGAAGCTAAAACGATATAGAGAATCAACCGTTTTACAATAAAAAATGAACAAATTCATGTAATTTTACTTTTAGAATGATTTATTAAATTGCCTAGTGAGCAACACAACACAAAAATCCATTTCGATCTCCCGCGTTGTTCAAAATACAACTGACGTTGCAATTTAAATGTGACGTTAGTCATGTGCAGCCCATGTTCTATTGCAATTAGAACATGATTTTGTTTCCAAAGCGAAAGAAGAACGTCATATTAGAACACAAAACATTTTTAAACACAAGTATATTGACTGATGTAAAATCACAAATGTCAAATTTCACTTATGCACAAATACATATAAATGAAATACTACCGAAGGTATGAACTAAATTTTACTCTCTTTTATCATTTGTGCCTTAAGAATTTTTACCTTGTTAAATTGATACTCTTTGTTTCACTAAATACAAAATGTCTGTGATTAATTTTTTTATATTTTCGGCAATACAGCGAAATTAAATACACAGGAATTCATCTGCAATACCGATTTCGCGAAAATAAGTACATCCGAAAAAAAGTACATATTCATTAATTGTAAGGTGTTTGTGTCTGCCCTGCAGGTGTCATCTGACCGTGACCTAATTTTATGGTTCATTGATCTATGTTAAGTTTTCCTAGTTTGATTATTTTCTCAGATACAATAAACAATAGGTCAACTATACATGCTATATTTGTTGCATGCAATGATTGTAAGGTGTACATGTTTTTCTGGCATGTTTCATTTGACCTTGACCTCTTCAATGTTCATTGGTCAATGTTAAGTTTGGGTTTTTTTTCATGGGTTTATGTATTGCTTTATTTCAATTGTACACTATTGTTGTCATGAGAAAACGGATGCTACTTAGAATTGAAAAAAAAAATCCTACTTTCTCAATGCTTAGTTACTGGTCTTTTATTTGTTTGAATTAAGTAAATTTTTCACATTTTGTACCATAAATTAAAGCGACACACAATGTTCAGACGAATCTTTTATTCAGTTTTTTCAATATTGCGACTTGATTTACATTTTAGCTCTATTAGGGTAAAACACGATGTGTCTTCTAAGTTCTTTATGTTTTAGCTGACTGACTAACCATGTTTTGTCACTGTAAATTCATATTTACAAAAAATAAAATAAGATTGAAAATTGAAAAGTGTACTTTTGGCAAGGTTCTAGGAGTCCGTAGTAAGTTATTTTTTTGAACAGTAAAGTAAGTTTTAAACTTTATTCTCCCTTGAACAAGCGATATTTTATCTTTCAAAATGTGTTCCAGTAGAGTTTGTAAAAGTAATTGAATGTATCTAATATAATTCATTTGATTGGTGTATCTTTTTTACTAAAAAGATGAAAATATAAAAAAAAAATGTGGTATGATTGCCAAAATAGACTAAAATGACACAGAAATTAATAACTATAGGTCTCAGTATTGTACGTCATTTACATATGTAATTATAGATTTTTAAAGATGCCAAGGAGAAAAATTGGGGAGTAGCAGACATTAAATGTGGTGTGAAAACCCCAAAGAAACAGAGATTGACGGACTTGACTTGGGATACTGTTCCATTAACAGTACAAAATTTGACCTTGGCATGGGTGATACTGACACCTTCAACAACAGTTACTCAAAGAACTTGGGGGGATACTGACCTCCACTCAAATGCAAACAACAGTAACTTGAATCCAAATAGTAACAATAACTGTGCAAAAGAAAATTCTCGTATACAAACAGATATTCTGTTAAATGAATAAAACAATAGTTATGCAAAGAAAGATTCTCATAGTAATATCCAAACTGATCTAGTGCAAAACCAAAATTAACAATCTCTAACTAATTCAGATACAGAGGTATCAAAAAAGTTCTATTCTTTTAATGCACACTTTCTTAAATTTGGAACTTTTGATCAGTATGCCACAAAATTTGATGATGAAAGCAGGGGCAGCCAATGTACTTGTAAATCCTTGGTTTTTGTTATCACTTTCTACTTTAAATTTTTATCCAAACACACTGAACCTGGATTACATTTTCAATAAAGGATATGAAATTTACAGGAAGCATGTTTAAGAATTAACAGCACATGAATTATTTAGAAATATGCTTTTAAATTTTGATGAAATTCCTGAAGGATTTTTTACAATTAACTAATTAAATATTCGGTTTGGTATAGCTTTACAGTACCAAGAGTTGACTGCATTTCTCACATTACAAGAAGCAATTCAAAATTGTATAAAGCAGTCAAACAAATTTCTTATTAATATCGGAGCCATCTGTTCGGCAGTTTAGTAATTTAATCAAGTATACTATTTTTTGACACTCATTCTCATTCAGAATGTACACTGAATAACCCATTAGATTTCCATGGCAAAAGTATTTTGATTGGATTTGCTGACTTACATGACCTCCTCAGTTACTTGTTTGCTTTTTACACAAGTTTACAAATTGATTTAGACTCATAATATAAAATTCTACCTGTATGCATCAGTTGTAAAGATACAGAGACAGTTTTAAACAAGCAGATCAAGAATCATTTTGAAGATCAGAAACTAAGGAACACAAAACAAAAAGAATTGAATACCAGTATACAAAATCTTGTGGCAAGTAACTGAATGTTAGCAATGAAAAAGATGATCAAACAGTTATGTGGAAGAGTCAAGTTTTTACAAAGGTACCCAGATTTTAATACATGAAAACGTACATGCAAAATAGAAGAACAAAATTAATAAAACATCCAAAGAAAAAGATTTAAATGCTAAAAGATATTTAAGAAAAGTTAAAGATTTCAAAAAGAGAGACGTTGCTGTTAAAAGAGAAGTTAGAAAGGATGAAAATTTTAGAAAAGCTGAAGCTGAAAGTAAGAAGTCTCAAAGAGATAACTCTGATTTAAGGATGTTCGCTACTCTGTTTAATAAAAACAAGCTTTTTTAAAGACTGTTATAAATTGATAGTATATAAATAACATAAACTAAAAAAGGAGAAAAAGATGAAGGGTCCGTGTCCTTTGTTTCGAGATATAAGCCATTGAAAAATTTGCGGGTAATGATTCTCTCTAGATTTTTCATAGATTTAACATTGCCATCTTTTTTCTTTCGAAAACTAAGAAAAAAAATAAAAGGATTTTATAAGATTTTCAAATATGGCTTTTTAAACTATATGTAATAAAATTATGAAAAGAAAAGTAGGGGTTAGTGGGCAAAATATTTATTGGCACTACATGGATAAAACCAGAGGATTCCGAACATCTGACAAAAATTCAAAAACAAGATCAGCGAACATCCTTAAGACAGATAGAGAGACAAAGAGGACATGCTTCTAAAAGAGAAGCTAGAAAGAATGAAGATTTTACAAAAAGAGAACTTGCTGCTAAAAGAGAGGCTAGAAAGAATGAAGATTTTAGAAAAGCTGAAGCAGAAAATAAGAAGTCTCAAAGAGATATTTCTGATTTAAGACAGAAAGAGAGACAAAGAGAACTTGTCTTTAAAAGAGAGGCTAGAAAGAATGAAGATTTTAGAAAATCTGAAGCAGAAAGTAAGAAGTCTCAAAGAGATATTTCTGATTTAAGACGGAAAGAGAGACAAAGAGAACTTGTTTCTAAAGGAAATGCTAGAAAGGATGAAACGTTTCGAAAAGCTGAAGCAGAAAGTAAGAAGTCTCAATTTATGTTTTAATGTTTTTAACTGCAACATACATGTAACTAAACCTCTACAATTTGTTTTGCTTTTAAAATGAGTATATCCTTTATGAACATTTTTAGATCAGTTATTCCAGATTCAAATTTTGTTTTTTCAATTGAAAGAAAAGAGAATAAACTAAAAATGATAAAGCGTGTCATATGCCCTGAAACCCCCTCCCCCCCAAAAAACCAAAATGATAAAGTGTGTCGTATGCCCTGAACCCCCACCCCTTCCCCCTCTAAATTTTCCTCTGTGAAGATAAAAACATGTGATTATATCATCATATTATTTTGTCAGGAATTGGATTAATAGCTACTATTTGCTGTAGTTTTTGCTTTTTGTTTGACGGATGAATGAATGCTATTTTAATGTCCAGTGGCAAATATTTATATTCTTATGGGTCCATTCTTACAACATTTCATATAAAAAGGAGATTTGAAACGACACATTCATAACTTCGAAAAATAATAATTTATTCAAATATTAACTGGCTACTTTGTACTGTTTTATCTCTATATATAAAATTGTAAGGTTGATTTTCTAGGCAATTTATATATATAAAATGTATATATTTTCTGATTTTAAAGTAAAGGCTAAAACATATTTTATTTCATTTTCAATAATATTATGAATCTAATCATTAATTTTTCAATTACCATTTATATTTTTATGAATTTATGATAAAAAAAAGAGCAAGCATTTAATTTTAAGGCCGGATGATTCTTTAAAATAAAAAGCACCAGGATTTTTGCACAATAAAATAGACAGGATCACTTTCGGTGCTAAAAAAAATACAGGACCTGTATCGCTCAGGAAAATAAAATTCCAGCAACAAACCTTTGATCCTTTCTCTAATATTAAAAAAAATCAAATGGTTGCTCCCTAAAATTATTATGAATATACAATTCAGATAGAAAACTTTTTCAACATTTTGTCTGTTTCGACGTTGGAAAACATGCACAATTCCGATCAGCCAGCACTCAAAAAGTAAAATCACAAAAATACTGAACTCCGAGGAAAATTCAATCGGAAAGTCCCTAATCACATGGCAAAATCAAATGACAAAACACATCAAACGAATGGACAACAACTGTCATATTCCTGACTTGGTACAGGCATTTTCAAATGTAGAAAATGGTGGATTGAACCTGGTTTTATAGCGCTAAACCTCTCACTTGTACGACAGTCTTATAAAATTCCGTTATATTTACAACGATGCGTGAACAAAACAGACATTATAAATAAAATAGTCAAAATATGGGTACAGCAGTCATCACAAAAGTCTCCAGTTAAACTGCAGCGTATTTCACAAGTACCGAGTAAAAGAGACACTTTTCATAATGATGTATTGGTCAAAATAGCATCAACATTGAATGTGCTCCGAACAAGGAACAGCCAAAAGGAAACCACTGTACAGTGCACACTTGATAAGATTCAAAACCTTGCAGAAAAACCAAAGGTAATTAAACTAGCTATGCATCGACTATTCACGATATTTGTTTCGGTGGGGGCGCCACAGAGTAAAAAATATCTCCTTTCATACGTTGCTCCCTCAGGTTCAAATTTAAGTTCACTTACTTTGGTTAAAACTAAAAGGTAGTTTATGACAAAGTTCAGCAAATATGACAATATAAAAATAAGAAGATGTGGTATGATTGCCAACTGTGTTACCCTGGTCCGTCCCGTCCGTCTGTCGCGTACGTCCCAGAAATTGGTTTTCGTTTTCTAACTTTAGTTTGCCTCAACCAAACGTTATAAAAGTTATACACAATGCTTATAACCACAAAATACAGATTAAGTTCGAAATTGGGTGGCGTCACTTTTACTGTTCATTAATTATGCTCCTTTATAAACATAAAAATAGCTGAATTTTTCGTTTCCGTTTTCTTACTTTAGTTTGCCTAATCCAAATGTTTTGAAACTTTTGCACAATGCTAATTACCACAAAACACAGATCAATTCGAAATTGGGCGGCGTCACTTTTACTGTTTAAGAGTTATGCCCTATAAACATAAAAATTGCTGAATTTTTCGTTTCCGTTTTCTTACTTTAATTTGCCTCAACTAAATGTTATTAAACTTATACATAATGCTTATTACCACAAAACACAGATCAAGTTCGAAATTGGGTGGCGTCACTTTCACCGTTCATGAGATATGTCCCTTTATGAACATGAAAATTGCTGAATTTTTCATTTCCGTTTTCTAACTTTAGTTTGCCTCAAGCAAATGTTATGAAACTTATACACAATGCCTATTACCACAAAACACAGATCATAAAAAAACAAAAAAAACAAACAACATTTCTAATTGTCTCCCGCGCAACGCGTTGTAGGAAACATAGAAATACCGGGCGTCTGTTCGTCCGGTCTTGTTAGCGCTCTGGCAATTCTTGCCAGGTTTTTTTAAACTTATATCAGAGGTTTAAATTATAGCAATGTCTTAGACGAGTTCGAAAATCAGTGCTGATCAATTATTTTTAATAGAGTTACGCCCCTTGGAAATATTGAATATATGGAAAATTGCATTGTTAGCACTCTCATTTGTACAATTCTTGCCAGATTTTTATGAAATTTATTTGCTCTGAAGCCTTCATTTTTCCAAGATATTTATAAAAACTTTCAAAGAACAAAAATTTATTTTTTTTAAGTAATTGCCCTTGTACCTTGGATAGATAACATTTGTGCAACGTGGGGGACATTCAAACTCTGTTTTTTTTTTATTACTATATGTTACTGAACAATGACAGCACTCAAACCTGTAAGCAATTTCTAACATGTCTAATGACAACATGTAGAAATATGTGTCATTAACTTTATAAGAAAAGAAAATGTCAATAATTAGCACATTGACTTCATGCATATTTACAAGCGGGGGCATCTGTGGTCCATAGACACATTCTCCATTTCTTTCTTTCAGCACTTAAAGGTTTTCAGACAACCTATTATGTGATAACGGATCACTTTTGCTTTTCATGATCTATGAATATAGACATGTTTTGGTGTCCATTTCAGAATATGGGCATAATTAGGTGTTTAAGACGTTGTGTGTTCTACAGTGACGTCATGTGGACACGTTTGGAGCAATGAACACGTTTGAGGGGAAGAACGACATGCTTCTCAATAGTACATATAATTTTAGTGCAATCACTTTTCTATCAGCCATTTCCGGTCTACCTTTTAAGATATATATGTAGTTAAACATGTGACTACATGTATAACTAACAGTTTAAAATTAGTTAAAATATATACAAATTGATTATAGTAAAATCTTTGATATGGTTTTACAATATCCCAATCGACCAATATAATCCCTATAGCACAACTCTTTGGATCATATTTATCAATATTTGATATTGGTGTGTCAGGTTTTTTATAGGTGTAATAATAAAATGTTCTTTCAGGTTAATGTAGTATCAGCTGTTATAAGGAAATCCAACAATGAAATTGTTGATGTACAAGGAACACTGATGACCAAATGCACAACCATAATTGCAGACAACACACAGCAAATGGAGTTGACCTTGTGGAAAGACCACATTGACAGCGTAGTTGGTGGGAATACTTATAATTTCGCAAATGTGTCGACCAGATTTTTCAACACATATACATTAACCACTATGGAAAGCCAATGGGGTCAAAATTCTTAATTCGTAAATTGTCAATTTGTAATTTGTCAACTGTGTAATTTCGAAATTCTTAATTCGTAAATAATCAATTTGTAACATATAACTGTGCAATTTCAAAATTCTGAATTCGTAAATTGTCAATTTGCAACTTTGAAATTCAACATTTGTAATATTGAGATTCTTTTATAGTTGCGACTTTGTAATTCATTAAATCTAACATTCGTATACTATTTCTTATTCTGCCATTCTTCATTTGTTACCATGTCACTTAAGATCACTTTAATAAATATTTGACATAGACACGCTGAAATTCGTATATTGATGTTTTGTAACTTGAAACATGTCGATTCGTTAAATGTCATCGTTGTATTATTCTAACGATCATTATGACGACAGATGGCGCTCGCTTTTATTCTTCTGTGTATTAGCCTCCTGTAAGTAGGAGCACCTCCATATGGAGTATATACTCTTAGTAATTTAAATCAATTATGTACAGCACATACATATAAAAGGAAACAAATAGATAAATATTTTTTTTTTATTTTTATATGGAATATATACAGAGAGTCTGTTTTATATAGAGGTGACCTCGAAGATACATGTATTTCTATTTTACTGGTCACCACACCTGAGAAAGGGGGGGGGGGGGGGGTCACTTCCTTTATTAAGGTATATACAGATGTGTCGCTGGAATGGGTCCCTTTTTCAAAATGGCAAATATATGACTTAATATATGACCGGGTCAAAATTTTCGGACTAAATACATGAAATAGAAGACTGAGCCGGAAAATTCAGACTAATATTTTTCTGGACTGGAAAATTCAGACTAATATTGTTCTGGGCCGGGTATTTAGTACTAAATACATGATGGGAGAAATGAGTTCAAAATTTTGGAAAAGAACTAAACTATCTTATGATTTTTTTTTATACAAGAAGCAAATCTATGAATAATATTTAATTATTTGGCTCTTGAGTAATGAAGATAAAAATGTTTATATCATGTTTGTACTTTGCAAAACAAATTGAATGAGCAAAGGAATATTATTTTAAACGATTCACTTAATTAATGTATAGGAATAAGAATAAGAATTATTCTAATCAAGAACTCATAAAGGGTATCATTTTACAACAACAATATGCACAATATGATTGGAAATAAAAAAACATAAACAAAAAAACAAGAACCTTATATAATTCTATCATGTTATGGACAGGATCAGAGCCTAACACATCATGTGTCTTATATAACTATTACAACATGTCTCATAATAATAAAATATCATTTATATATTTTGTTTCCACCTGGATCTTATTTCTAAACACTGAATAATATAATGTATACTATGTATTAAAACTGTTTTGAATATCCAATATTTTGTTATCTATATAGTCTAAATGAATCTGACCAATCAGAAAACTTACTGAATACGAGATCGTCGAGACATGACATATAATAGTAGGATAATGGTGTGATGTCCTGGTGTCCCCTCTGCATATTTTGTCAAGGACCATGATCGTAAAACTATGAAACTGTTTCTTTTTTATTACAAATCTATAATCATTTTTAACCAAAGTGACACCTCCCTCCCTCACTGATTGGTCAGAGAGAAGATATCGCCATCTCGCCAATTTCATGACAGAAGCAATTCTCGCCAATCTGCTTACCCTAATTTTATTTCTCTTTGAGAATCTTTATATATGACAGCTCATTTTAGAGAGCAAGATATCAGCAATCTGCTAGTTGTTATGTCTTCAAATTTAGGTATAACTTTTCGGACAGGAGAGGCGCCAAAAATTGGGTGGCAAGAATAACTTGCCGGCAAGAAATACTTTTTGACCAGTACTTCTCTAGCTGGTCATAGAGAAGACCTCACAGAAACCATTCTCGCCAATCTGTTTGCAACAGTTTCATTTCTCCATGAAAATCTTTGCACATGATTGGGGGGCCCGGTCTGTGAGAGCTCATTTTGGAGAGCAAAATGGTGGCAAACCATGGGGAGTGGGTGGCTAGGGGATGGGTGGGATCCTGGGAGTAGGGGCGTGAAGCCGGAGTTGAAGGGGAAGGAATCGGGAATCGGGAGTATTTGGAGAACACCCTGTAGGACGTTTTGTCTGCAACACGTTTTGTAAATTTTTATAGGACGAAACATCGGGTGGCGGCAATTACTTCTTGACCAATAAAGTTTAGTAGGCATGTATATTAGTATATATCTTCCCCCACAGTCTGAATTGACAATTACGAATTAAGAATTTCGAAATTACACATTTACAAGTAACAAATTGACAATTTACGAATTAAGAATTTTGAAATTACACATTTACAAGTTACAAATTGACAATTTACGAATTATGAATTTTGACCCTGTTAATTGGCTTTCCATAAACAACTACATCATCAACAGATATAAACGATCATCAAGATTTATTAAATATAGCTACACATGAGGAAGAATCCATGTCTTCTATTATTACAGGGCAATTACCCAGATAATCCTACACAAATCAGCACAATGTGGCAGCTGTCACAAATCAGCTAAATGTGGCAACTGTCACAAATCCATCAAAGAGATACCAACAGAAAATTTAGTACGCTGCAACTCCTGTAATATGAAACAAAAGGCAACCTTAATAATGCATACACCTGCACAATGAATGTTAAAGATCTGTCTACACCTCAAGTGATAAAGATAAAAATGTTTTCATCAGTCGTATTGACCTTCCGTACAGGAAATCTAAAATTAGATCTGCTTGCAAAAATGGAAGATGTTGAAGATTATCTCTTGGAACAACAAAACCTGATTATTACATACAACTCCAACACCAAAGTTGTTTTGAAGTTTCATAAAACCAGAGCACTAGAGCATATGCCATCCACTTCAAGGCCAAGGGATCAACAGTGTACCATGGTTTCAAAGACAGTCTAAATATTCCATTTAATATAATCTGTCTCCTTTTATTGAAAATAATCACAGAATGTATCTAATGAAAGCTAAAACTTTGTCTTGTTCTCAATCAAACATGTTAAATTACATTTTTATTCTATAGTTTAATAACCAGTCATTGTATTGGTAAAATTGTGTTTAGTGATGATGGCTTGTTTTCCCTTATTTTGAATGCAGAAGCATCAAATTCACTGTCAGAAATGAACACACCAAAATATCGTCCTCCATCTAAAATAGATTGGAAACAGTGTCGTCAGGTCACCAAAGATGCTCTTTCCTCGTTTTGTAAAAATTGGTGTAAACGGGGAAAATGTGGTAGATAATAGAATATCACATTTTGAAAATAATTTAGAAGTAAATAATAGAGTACATACGCCTATTTCCAGTATAAGAAATCAACTTCAAGAACTTTCAAAGCGGTTTGTGTTTGTACCTGCCGACAAAGCAGCCAACAATGTGGTGGTGGTATGCCGTAAATACTACACGGACGTTCTTAAGAATGAAATTTTAAATTCATCTACATTCAAGTCCATGGGCCCCACAGAGAGTCATATAGTTACAGATGGGTGCAGTCCTAACCTGTACAGCAAGTTAACTTGATAACCAGTCATTTGGACTGGTCAAAGTTAACCTGTGACAGGATTTAGGACTGCTCTGACCAGTCCTAGGACCACAATCTAGTTAACTTGAAAAGCGGACTTGGTCCTAGGACTGTTTTTATGTCTGCCGAAAAAGTTAACTGGGAAACAGATCCGCTATTGATATAAGTTATTTTCGAAACCAGTTCTGTCATAAGTTAACACAAGTTAACTTTGATTTTGACAACTCCGATCGAACCAGACCTGATCTCAAGTTAACTTTTGGCCTGGTCTGCTCAACACTAAGATAACTTGTAACCAGGACCGCTCTACATCGATTTTTTTTTAATATCTTTTAATGTCTTTGTTTTTTGGTATAAACATAAAAAAAATAAAGTCAATTTAATACTTCCGTGATATAAACATGATTAAATACATGTAGCTCCGTGTTGAAGTGATCTATTTGTAAATATAGTACGCATAAAACTTTGCTTGTTTATATACAAATTTATCCGTGATCTGCCTTTCTATATATTAAAAAAACGATAATGGTTACAATGCTAACGAGCTGAATATATATTCCAATACATATCAAATTCTTTAAATCGTATTAACCATATTTGCACTTTATAATGTAAATCTATATAGCCGTAAAGTAAATCAGAAATATTTTTATGTCGGGATAGAATATATAATACAAATGACAGCAATATTGGAACACAATCACTACAAAATTTTACCCGCATTTTTGTCCGCATAAATTTAGAGTGCCAGCATGTCCTCCTTTTGTTCAATATATTGATACGTAACAAAATTTCAGTATTTTTGATACCCCAGGCTGACTCGTATAGCAAAATTATTTGACCGTATCAACCAAAACTTACCAAATTTGCACTTTATCATGTAAATCTATATAGCCGCATAATAATTCAGTAATATTTTATGTCAGGATGTATTGTATAATACAAATGACAGCAATATTGGAACATATTGTAAAAACAAAATTTTGTCAGTATAAATCTAGATTGCCAGCATGTCCTCTTTTTAATCAAAAGTATTGTCTCACAACAAAATTTCAGTAGTTTTGATACCTCAAGCTGACTCCTATAACAAAATTATTTGACCGCATTAACCAAAACTGACCATATTTGCACTTTATTTTGTAAATCTATATAGCTGCATAGTAAATCAGCAACTATTTTCATGTCAGGATTTAATGTATAATACAAATGACAGCAATATTGGAACACAACAACTACAAATTTTTGTCCGCATAAATTTAGAGTGCCAGCATGTCCTCCTTTTGGTCAATATACATGATATATTGATACGTAACTTAATTTCAGTAGTTTTGATACCCCAGGCTGACTTGTATAGCAAAATTATTAGACCGCATCAACCAAAACTGAACATATTTGCACTTTATTATGTGAATCTTTATAGCCGCATAATAATTCCGTAATATTTTTATGTCAGGATTTAATGTATAATACAAATGACAGTAATATTGGAACACAATGAATACAAAGTTTTGTCCGCATAAATTTAGAGTGCCAGCATGTCCTCCTGTTGTTCAATATATTGATATGTAACAAAATTTCAGTACTTTTGATACCTCAGGCTGACTGGAATAGCAAAATGTTAGGACCGTATCAACTAAAACTGACCATATTTGCACTTTAGTATGTAAATCTATATGGCTGCATTATATTTAATCAGAAGTTTTTTTTTATGTCAGGATGTATTGTATTATAATACAAATGACAGCAATATTGGAAAACAATGGATGCAATATCTTTTCCGCATCAATTTAGATTGTCAGCATTTCATCTCTGTATTAATAATATTAGACCATCACTAAAGTTAGTAGTTCAGGATGGTGTGTATAACAAAACTATTTGACTGCATCATCCAACACTGACATGTCTGATTTCATTTTTACTTTATAATGAAAAGTATAAGAAGTTCTCTTCTGGGAATAGTATACTGTTGGTACATTATGTCGATTGATTGATTTTGTTTGTAGCTAAACCTCAAGTGGCAACTATTTCATTCATGTGCACAACGAGTATATTGTTTTGGAAGTCCCATATCATCATTTTTAATCCGTAAAGACAAATCTGACGAAATTGACGAGATTGTTCATAATTATTCAACACCTTATGTATCCGGACACTGTACAATTTTCGTTAGAATATTTTGTCGAAAACAGAATTGTAAATCCAAGGCAAACAAGGTGAATTACGATGAAATATCCATGTAATGCATAAAGTTTAATTTAAGAAGAGACTGTAAACAATGGGGAACGAAGCAACGTCGAAAATGATGTTGATATCCCATGACATAAAAATATTGTTCCGATGCGTTGGATAACCTTTCTATCCGCCTTCTGATTAAATAAAAACTTTCCTTTCTTTAATGATAGCTGTATGTGATCACAAGTGTGTAATTTTATAGCCATTGTTTAATGTATATAAGAATACATGAAATGAAAAAAAGATTTTTTTTTAATGTGTATATTATCGATAGAGTCTAACGAGTAAAGAAATTTGCTATACAGGGAAAAAAGGACGATGCGATTATTGTTTACATATTAAAAGCTCAGGTCTGATATCAAAAGTCATAAACACGGTAATCTGTCATAAGCAGACCTGTTCCCTACTCTGTATTGGTTACCTAAACTACACAAAAACCAGTAAAATATCGTTTCATCTCGGCCTCTAGTAAGTGTTCTACAATTAATCTGTCAGTGCTTTTAACAAGTTCCTTAACTACTATCAAAGAGCTTGTCATAAACTATTGTAATAAAATATATGAAAATAGTGGAATTAACTATTTTTGGAGTGTACAAAATTCTTTGGATGTTTTAGATAAATTGCGTGCTTTTGATGGTCCTTTTTATTCTGTTGACAGTTTTGACTTTTCTACTTCTTACACTATACTTCCACACAATCTTATCAAACAAAAATTTGACTCTTTAATTAAATGGTCGTTTGGTAAATCTGAATGCAAATATATTTGCTGCAACTCATTTAAAGCCTTCTTCTCTAATGAGAAAGGTAAATATGCTAGATATATTTACTGGAGGTGTGATGAGATGATTGAAGCTGTTAATTTTCTCCTTGATAATATTTATGTACGTTTCGGCAGCAAAGTTTATCGACAGGTTGTAGGTATTCCTATGGGCACTAATTGCGCCCCTTTAATAGCAGACTTATTTTTGTACTGTTATGAATCCCAGTTTATGACCAACTCAGTAAAGACCCGTCTAAATTGCATTTAATTGATAAATTCAACAACACTTACCGTTACCGTTATCTTGATGATATTTTTTCGTTAAATAAACAAGAATTTTCTCAATATACTACCGCAATTTACCCAAAGGAACTTACTTAAAATAAATCAAATTTAAACGGTAACAACTGTCCTTTCCTAGATTTAGATATTTCGGTTTTACACGGGAAACTCCACACTAAAATTTACGACATAAGGGACGATTTTTCTTTCCCTATTGTTAATTTTCCCTTTTTGGATGGTGATGTTCCTTTGGCACCATCTTACGGTGATTATATTTCACAACTCGTTCGCTATGCCCGTGTCTGTTGTGACAATTTTGATTTTAACGAACGTAATCTATGTATTACTGGTAAATTATTAAGCCAGGGATTTCGTTACCACAAATCACTTAAAACCTTTACTAAATTCTTCCACAGATATAAAGATTTGGTTTTGAAGTTTGGTTGTACCTGTAGAAAACTTATTTTAAACGGGATTGCACATCCTCATTTTTACGGCAATATTGTTTACCGTGCCCGGAAATTTAGAAACGATCCTAGTAAACTTATCGATCCTTTAAATAAACTTATTCTAAAAGGTTACCAATTCAACACTGTAATTAGATCGTTAAATATTGTTTTTATTGGTACTGATATTGATTTTGTTATCAGTAAATTAAAAGCAAACTAAATATTATTGTTATATACATATACACATTCATGGATCTACAATCTGTCAATACCTGTATCTTGACATTGCACAAGGTCATGTTTTTCTCTGACTGTTTATGACGTCTTTACACTAAATCCATTGGATGTTGGGTGGGTACCGATTGATAATTTAGTCTTAGATGCATGATTTTTTTATTAGTTGTAAGTGGCTTTGAACTAGCTGTCAGTAACTGCGAGTACTCTCAAATCTGTACTTCGTGTCTTTTTGTTGTTTGGATGTACAAGTACCCGGCCACGTCCACTTGTAATTGTAGTATTTGTATTTTTTCAACTGTTTTTATAGTTCGTTCTTATGTTGTACTGTTACACCACTGTCCCAGGTTAGGGGAGGGTTGGGATCCCGCTAACATGTTTAACCCCGCCACTTTCTGTATGTATGTGCCTGTCCCAAGTCAGGAGCCTGTAATTCAGTGGTTGTCGTTTGTTTATGTGTTACATATTTGTTTTTCGTTCATTTTTTGTACATAAATTAGGCCGTTAGTTTTCTCGTTTGAATTGTTTTACATTGTCATTTCGGGGCTTTTTATAGCTGACTGTGCAGTATTGGCTTTGCCCATTGTT